ATGCCCGCACACGAGAACCATTAGTAAATTTTAGTGCCCGCCCACGAGAACCACTTAAAACCTTTAATATGTATTCAGAAGGGGAATATTCTCCTAAGTCTCAGCTCTTCAGCTTTCCCGGTGGCCGAGTTAGCAATTTCCCCGTCAAAACTTTCACAGGTTCGCACATGACCTGGGAGCATACCTGGGGGTTGGATTTGGAATCCTCAACTTGCATGTACGCTAGGAAAGTCACTTTAAAATTTCAGCCTCCCAGCTTTCCTGGTTCTCGAGTTTGCCGTTTTCCCGCCAAAAATGTTTCACGGCACAAGAACCGCGCATGCCTGGGGGCTGAATCTGATAACTTTAAATAATACATGGGCTGGGAACATTCTCTGAAAATTTCAGCTTCCCGGCCTTGCTAGTTCCCAGGTTAGCCATTATCCCACCGGAAAATTCCACGGGGCCGTACATGAGAACCACATACTACTGGGGGCTGAATTTTATAGGTTTATGTCGTACTTATGCTGGGAACATTCCTTGAAAATTTCAGCCTTCCAACTTTCCTGGTTCCCGAGTTAGCGATTTTCCCGCCAGAACTTTCATATCCCCTACGTGGGTGCCACGCGTACCTGAGAGTTGAATTTGAAATATTCGGCTAACACATGTACAAGGAACATTCCTAAAAAATTTCAACCCTCTCACCTTGTCTAGTTCCGGAGATCGCGTTTCCTCTAGAAAATTTGCATATTTCTTTGAAGCGTCCGCAAGTAGCACCAGGTGTCCGTGGGATATGACATTAAAACCGGAGGTTCACGCATAGTATGGACACATAATCCCAAAGTTTCAACCTTTGAGCTTTTCTGGTTCTCGAATTGAAAGTGGATGACAAATATTGCGAACACACACGCGCAGACAGCTTCTTTCCAATATGCCATTTTTGAATTTTCATATATATAAAAACGCACAAAAACACGCGCAAATGATGAAAACAGGGGAGTTTTGTACGAAACGTGAAGGTGAAAGTTGGACTTACGGTTAAAGCCTATGTACTATTAAAAAGTGAAGTATTTATTTAGAACACACTTGTTTATCGTTAGGTTGTTAAAATATGTGTTGCGGGACTATATCACTACCGGATTTTGTAGCAGAAGCAACTGGCCCGGTAAGATATATTGGCACACCGTCGACAGTCAGCCAAATCGATCGCATTCTGTTCTGGCTGAATATATCCTTACCGACTCTAACACTAATAAATATAACCGTTATGTTTGGTGTCCAGCATTGGGCTCACACCAGCACCTCCCCCATACACGGATTGAAGTTTATTCGAATTTTTCTCATCTCTACGTACAACTTTGCTTTTTCACAAGCATTATGTTTATTTGTTTTGCTAGCATAAAGCTATACAGCTACAACCCCCGAACATATGTGTGCGTTCCGAATTTTTCATCCAATTTTACCTTAGCAATCAGGATAAATGGCAACGCGCACCAGGCTAGCCGGTGCGATCATGCGTTTTGTGCAATTCAGACCATCGAACGATTGCCTGTTAATGATTTTCACTTCCTTGTACTTTAGTCTATGCAAAAATAGTTCGAACATTGAAAAACAGTTAAAAATTTCACGCACCAGC